GAAACGAGGCAAGGATGTTCCCTCTCATCACTGCTTTTCAATGTTGTACTAAAAGTTCTAGCTAATACAATAAGACAAGAAAAAGGAAATAAAATGTATACAGATTGGGAAGGAAGAAATAAACTGTCTTTGTCACAGATGACATGATTGTGTAGAAAATCTGCAAGAACTTAAAAAAATCTCTTGGAACTAATACTAAAACACAAGATTGCAGGATACAAGATTAGTATACAAAAGTCAATTGCTTTCCTATATACCAGCAATGAACAAGTGAAATTTGAAATTAAAAACACAAAATCATTAACAGTACCACCCCAAAAGTGAAATACTTAGGCATAAATCTAACAAAATACGTACAAGATCTATACAAGGAAAACTACAAAACTCTAATGAAAGAAATCAAAGAAGAATGAAATAAATGGAGAGATATCCCATGTTCATGGACAGGAAAACTCAATATTGATATCAGTTCTTTCTAACTTGATCTACAGATTCCATGCAACCCAAATCAAAATCCCAGCAAGTTACTTTGTGGATATTGACAGACTGATTCAAAAGTTTATGTGGAAAGGCAAAAAATCTTGGTCAGTCAACAGACTACTGAACAAGAAGAACAAAGTCAGGAACCTGGCACGACCCAAATTTAAGACTTACTATAAAGCAACAGTAATCAGGACAGTGTGATATTGTTGAAAGAAGAGACAAATTGATTGATGGAACAGAATAGAGAGCCCAGAAATAGACACACACTAATACAGTCAACTGAGCTTTGACAAAGGGGCAAAAGCAATTCAATGGATAAAGAATAATCTTTTCAACAAATGATGAAACATTCGTACATCCATTTACAATTGTACATCCATATGCAAAAAAAAAAAGAATCTAGACACAGATCTTATACTTTTCACAAAAATTAACTCAAAATGAACCTTAGACCTAAACGTAAAACAAAAGATTATAACATTTCTACAACATAACAGGAGAAAATCTAGATGACCTTGAGTCTGGCAATGAGTTTTTAGATACAACACCAAAAACACAATCCAAGAAAGAAAAAATTGATAAGTTGGACTATAAAAAATTGATAAGTTGGACATTTTTCTGCTCTGTGTTAAACACTGTTAAGAGAATGAACAGACAAGCCTCAGACTGGGAGAAAATATTTGCAAAACACATATCTAATAAAGGACTTGTACCCAAAATATACACAGAACTCTTAAAACTCAACAATAAAAAGATAAACAACCCATTTTTAAAAAGGACAAAAGATCTGAACAGATACCTCACCACAGATGATATATAAATAGAAAATAAGCATATGAAAAGATGCTTAATGTCATATGTCATTAAGAAATTGGAAATTAAAACAACAATGAGATACCACCACACACCCATTAAAATGGCTAAAAAATTTTTTAAAAACTAATAATACCAAATTCTGGCAAGGATACACAGCAGCACAAATGTTCATTCATTCATGATGGGAATACAAAATAGTCCAGTTACTCTGCAATACAGTTTGACAGTTCATTACAAAGTTAAACATAGTCCTATCATACAGTCTATCAATTGCACTCCCAGCTATTTACCTAATTGAGCTGAAACCTATGTCCCCACATCCTGCACACAAATATGTATAATGTATAAAAATGTATACACTATACACAGTGTATAGTGTATAAAGTATTTTTCATAATTTCCAAGAAATTCAAGCAACCAAGATGTCTTTTAATACGTGAAGGAATAAAAAAATATCTATGGTACATCCGTACAATGGAACTCAATAGATACAGAAGAAGTATTTGACAAAATCCAACATCCTTTCATGACTAAAAAAGAAAAAGACACTCAACAAACTAGGAATCTTCTTCCATCTGATAAAAAGGCATGTATTAAAAACCCACAGCTAATATTATACTTAATGATGAAAGTTGCAAGCCTTCCGCCTTCAATCAGGAACAAGACAAGTATGTCCACTCTCACAACTCCTATTCAACATTGTATTGGAGGGTTTAGCCAGGGCAATTTGGCAAGAAATAAAAAGCACCCAGATTAGAAAGGAAGAAGTAAAACTATCACTATATGCAGGTGACATTATTTTACATAGAGAAAATTCTAAATTAGCCAAAAAAACTATTATAGCTAATAAATGAGTTCAGCAAAGATGCAGAATACAAGATCAATATATAAAATCAGTTGTATCTTTATACACTGTCAATGAACAATCTGCAAACGAAATTAAGAAAACAATTTCACGGCCAGGCCCGTGGCTTAGCTATTAAGTGTGCACACTCTGCTACTGGCAGCCTGGGTTCGGATCCCGGGGGCACACCAACGCACTGCTTCTCCGGCCATGCTGAGGCCGCTTCCCACATACAGCAACTAGAAGGATGTGCAACTATGACATACAACTATCTACTGGGGCTTTGGGGAAAGAAAAAAAGGAGGAGGATTGGCAATAGATGTTAGCTCAGAGCCGGTCTTCCTCAGCAAAAAGAGAAGGATTGGCATGGGTGTTAGCTCAGGGCTGATCTTCCTCACAAAAAAAGAAAAGAAAAGAATTTCATTTATAATAGCATAAAATTAAAATACTTAGGAATAAATTGTAGCAAGAAAGTGTGAAATCTGTGTACTGAAAACCACAAAACACCAAGGAAAAAAACTGAAGAAGGTGTAAGTAAATGGGAAGATCCAACGTTCTAGGATTGGAAAACTCAATATTGTTAAGATGGCAATACTCCCCAAATTGATCGACAGGTTCAATGCAAATACTATCAAAATTCCTTTCTAATTTCTTCATAGTGTCCTTTGACACACAAAAGTTTTATAGTTTTAACTCTTACAGCTGGCACTTTAATCCATTTTTAGTCAATTTTTGTATCTCACATGAGGTAGGAGCCCAAATTCATACTTTTGTATTTAAATATCTCATTTTCCCTGCACCATTTGCTGAAAAGCTATTCTTTCCCCACTGAGTGGTCTTGACATCCTTGTCAAAAATCACTCTCAATCATATTCCATTTATCTATACTTACAATCTTAAGTAGAAGAAAGAACAAAGTTAGAAAATCATACTTCCTGATTCCAAAACTTACTACAAAGGTACAGTAGTCAAAACAGTATAGTGCTAGCCTAAGAATAGATGTAGAGAACAGTGGAATATAATTTAGAGTTCAGAGCTAAAACCAAAAAACCCTTGGAAGGAAACATAGATACAAGCCTTTGTGACCTTGGGTTAGGCAATGGTTTCTTAACTATAACACCAAAATCACAAGAAACAAAAGAAAAAGATGTATAGATTTGCTTCATCAAAATTAAAAACTTGTATGTGTGAAAAGATACTACAAAGAAATTTAAAAGGAATCCATAGAATGAGAGAAGTCATTTGCAAGTCACATACCTGATAAGAGTCTGGTATCCAGAATTTATAGATGTCTTACAATTTAATAATAAAAAAGCCAAATAACCCAAATTTTAAAAAGGCAAAGGTTATGAATAGATACTTCTCCAAGGAAATACCCAAATGACCAATAAGCACATGAAAAGATACTCGACATTGTTATTAACTAAGGAAATATCAAAATCATAATGAGTTACCATTTCATATAGTATAATTAAAAAAAAAAAAACAATGGGCCGGCCCAGTGGCGCAAGCGTTTAAATGCGTGCGCTCCGCTGCGACAGCCTGGGGTTCGCGGGTTCGGATCCTGGGCGCGCACTGACACACTGCTTGTCAAGCCATGCTGTGGCCGCGTCCCATATAAAGCAGAGGAAGATGGGCACGGATGTTAGCTCAGGGCCAAGCTTCCTCAGAAAAAGGAGGAGGATTGGCATCAGATGTTGGCTCAGGGCTGATCTTCCTCACAAAAAAACACAAACAAACAACTCGGGGCCGCCCCAGTGGCCTAGTGGTTAAGGTTCGCGCCCTCCGCTTTCAGCAGCCCGGGATTTGCAGATTTGGATCCCAGGTGCGGACCTCCGCACTGCTTATCAAGCCATGCTGTGGTGGTGTCCCATATAAAGCAGATGTTTATTGGTGAGATGTGGACGAATTGGAACCTTCCTATGTTACTGGTGGGAAAGTAAAATAGTGCAGCTCTGTGGAAAACAGTTTGGCAGTTCCTCAAAAAGTTAAACATAGAGTTAACATATAACCCAGCAATTCCACTCCTGGGTATATACCCAAGAGAATTGAAAATATATGTCCACACAAAACTTGTACCTGAATGTTCAGAGCAGCATTATTCATAATAGCCAAAAGGTAGAAACAATCTAAATGTCCTTCAACTGAGGAGTGGACAAATGACATGTGGTTTATCCATGCAATGGAATATTATTCAACCGTAAAAAGTAATGATACACACTATAACATGGATGAACTTTCAAAACATTATGCTAAGTGAAAGAAGAAGCCAGTCACAAAATGTCACATATTGTATGATTCCACTTATACAAAACGTCCAGAATAGGCAAAACCGGAGAGGTAGAAAGTAGATTAGTGGTTGCCAGGGGGTGGAGGGAAGTAGGGAGTGGGATTGACTGCTAAAAAGTATGGATTTCTTTTGCGGGTGATGGAAATGTTGTGGAATTGGATAGTAATGGTGGTTGTACAATAATGTGAATTTGCTAAAAACTACTGAATGCTACAACTTAAATGGCAAATTTTAAGTTATATGAATTGTATCTCATTTTAAAATAATAATAATCATACATAACTGGTACGTTAATTAAATAAAATTTTTGATAAAATAAAAATACAACTTAAACAAATACATTATCCTTTAAGATCCCTTCCAACTCTAAAATTACTATCTAGCCTTGGTGGACCCCAGGGGCTCAGATGACCCCTACATTGTCAACTCCACCAGCCTGTAGAGACAGGCTGGGTAACCAGCTCTTCTCTGTGTGACCAGTGATGTTACCAGGTTATAACATGAGGTCTTGGGTGGGAGTAGGGGAGTTAGGGGCAGATCAAGCCAGGAAGCCAGGCAGTAGGAAGAGGAGGGATTAGTAAAGACTCCCTGCCTCTCTCTGAGACTCCACACAATAGTCTTCCCACATCTTTCTCTAACCTTCTGGGCAGGGCAGGTGTTTTGGTTTCTTTGAGCAAAATATGAAACAGAGAAGCACCACTTCTGCCTCAAGACGCATGTAAAGAGGTGCAGATATAGGTGAGTTCCTTTACAAACATTTCAAACATATGTTTTCCTCTAATTTTAATAGCCTATACCAGGAGTTCTTAAACTCCGGGTGCACATCAGAACAACCTGGAGAGCAAGTAAATAAGCAGATTCCTGAGCCCACATCCAGAGGTTCTGATTCCGTAGGTCTGGGGATTCCCAAAAAACTGCATTGCTAAAAAGCTGGTCTGTGGATGGTGCTTTGAGTAGAACTGTCATATATGATGCTTTTCTTTTCCTGTCTTAAAGAAAGTGGAGGGGTTTATTTGGTTACAAGTCTTTATGTATGGTATTGTTATTATTGGTGGTTGGATAATTTAGAGCTATGTTTCTCAATCCAAATTGTATTGAGGTCCAGAAAGCCGAATTTACTCTCTTAGAATTGAGGTGGGCCCCAGAGATGGGGAGGGAGAGCAATGACAGGCAAAGGGGAATTGAACTCCTAGAAGGTAAGTCAGAGCAGTTTGGGGTTTGGCACCATTCTCCTTTGTATCCCCAAGGCCTTCCAGGCCCAGACCAGGAACGCCTCTGAAATTCTGAGTAAATGAATGAATAACTAACAGAAAAGTGTAATGGTTTTTGTAGATGCCCGATATCCCTTTTATTTCTAGTTTACTGAGAGTTTATGTCATGAATGTGTTGAGTTTTGTCAAGTGCTTTTCTGCATTTATCAAAAAGGATCATATAACTTTTATCTCAATGTGATGACTTAAATTGATTGATTTTCAAATATTAAACCAACCTCATATTTTTGGCATAAACACCACTTGGTCATGATGTATATCCTTTTTAAATATATTGCTGGATTCGATTTGCTGATATGTGGTTAAGGACTTTTGTGTCTACGTTCATGAGGGTTGTTGGTCTGTAGTTTTCTTTTATTGTAATGTTTTTGTCTGGTTTTGGTATCAGGGTTATGCTGGCCTCATAAAACACTTGGGAAAGTGTTTCATCCTGTTTCGGACAGTTTGTATAAGATTGGTGTTATTTCTTCCTTAAATGTTTGACAGAATGCACTAGAAAAATCATCTAATTCTGGAGTTTTCTTTTGTAGGATAGTTTTTATAGTTAAGTAAATTTCTATAATAAAAGTAGGACTATTCAGATTTGCCATATCATTTCATGTCAGTTTTAGTAGGCTGAATTTTTAAAGAAATTTGTCCATTTCATTTAAGTTGTTCAATTTGTTAACATAAAATTGATCATAATATTTCTTTGTTATTCTTTTAAAGTCTGTAAGATCTGTAGCAATAACCATTCTTTCATATCTGCTATTGACAATTTGTGTTCTCTCTCTGTTCGTTCTCAATCTGGGTAGAGTTTTATTATCTTTAAAAAAATTTTTTTCAAATGACCAGTTTGGGTTTTGTACATTTTTTCTCTTATTTTCTATTTCTTTATTTCTTCTTTTATCTTTATTATTTCCTTCCTTCTACTCACTTTGAGTTTAATTTGCTCTTCTTTTTCTCGTTTCTGAGTTACTGATTTAAGATCATTGACTTTAGGCCTTTCTTCTTTCCAATATAAGCATTTAAAGCTATAAATTTCTCTCTAAGCACTGATTTAGTTGTATCTCATGAATTTTGATATGTAATATTTTCATTATTATTCACTTCAAAATATTTTACAATTCACATTGTGATTTCTTCTTTGATTCACAGATTCATTAGAAGCACGTTGTCTTACTTCCAAATTATTGAGGGTTTTCTAGTATCTTACTGTTATTGATTTCTATTTTCTTTTGGGTATTTTATATAATTTCTCTTTCTCTGTTGAGATTTATTATCTTTTCATTCATTATGAATATATATTCCTTTATTCTCTGGAGCATTGTTATAATAGTTGCATTTTCATCCTTATTTGCAAATTCTAATACCTAGTTCATCTCAAAGTCACTTTCATGATTGTCTTTTTCTTTTGAGTATGGGCCATGTTTTCCTATGTCTTCATATGCTGAGAAATTTTGTATTGTATCCTGAACATTGTAAATATTGTGTTGTGGAGACTGGATCCTGTTTCATTCTTCTGAAAACTATTGATTGTTTATATATGGTTTCTTTGTTTTAGCAAACAGTTAACTTGGCTGACTCGAACTCTAACCTCTGTCTCTCCTAAAGTTGGCAGCAGCTCAAATCTCAGTGCAGTTCTTTTAGCTTTCACTGTGCATTCATGGTTCAGAGGTCAGCCAAACATCTGGGCAGAGTTTATGGACAAAATTTGGGTCTCTTACTCTCTAGCCCTTTCCTGTCTGTGATTTTCGCCCCTCACACTCCAGTGGCTGTAGCTGCCCTAAATTCAGCCCTCTGGTTTTTCAAGACCGAAATATTGTGAGTTTTCTACTAGAGTTTTAGCTGCTCCTCATGACCAGGTCCTGCTCTTAGGCCAAAGCCATAAAAATGAGAATCTCACCCAGTGCCATAGAGCTGTTCTTTTTTTTCAAATGCCTAATCTCTTCTAGTATTCCTTGTCTTTTGTTAGCTCAATATTGCCCTTAGGAAGTTTTTTTGTATTTGTTCCAGAGTTTATAGTTCTTATCTGTAGAAGGGTTGGTTGCCTCTGAGCTTACTCAGCCACTAGGGAAAAGTAGAACCCAGTTATGTTATCTTCTATACAATAAATAATCCAATACTTGATAACCTGGCAGAAGATGGACTGAAAAGGCCTCTTACCAACCCATTCAAACTGCATGATTCAGGACCATAGATCAGGAAAAATCTGGTAAGGTGAGAGAAATATAAGTTAACTAGATTGGCCACTGGTTGTCTGTCATCCCAGACCAGCCTGAGGACTTCTTTTGTTCTGAGAGTTGAGGGAAAGCATGTGAATTCCACTGAGAGTAGAGATGTGTGATTATTCTGCCTTGGTGATACAGGCAACACAAATCATTGTCCACATGGTTGATGCCCACCATCCAAGGAAGGCAACTCCTTTCTCTGTTGCTTTATTCTGTATTCATGAGAGATGTTAAAACACTGAGAGTTACTTGTTTTTAGTAAATTAAAATAAAAAGGGGAGAAGATATCTTCTTTCTCAGGAGAAGCCATTTAATTTTGAGAAATTTCCAACCAGGAAGCTGGGGTGCTGATGTTAAGAAGATGGGTTGGCCTGTACTGGTCCTGGGTTAGGGAAAGACAAGAGTTATGCAGTAGACTTGGGGGTCACCTGTACAATATGAAGGGTGTTTACAAGGCCCCTGTCCCAAAATAACTCCACTTCCAACTTATCACACTACAGGAACTCCCAGATATTTGTGTAATTTCTGATTTCATTCTAAACTACAAGCTTCTTGTAGATAGACACTATATATTACTCGTGTTTATACCCTAGAATGCAGCATCTATCATAGTGCATGGCATATGTCAATGATCGTTAAGGGCTGTTGTATTGAGTCAGATAAGCTCCTTTTTAAAATGTAAATACCCAATTTCTAAACGTCAAAAATTTAAAAGGCCGTAGACACAATTAAAAGGTTAAAAAGCACAGTGGGTTGACAAGACTAAGCAACATGCTCTTAAAAATCCATAAGAAAAACATTATTATTCCAAGTGGAAAAACAAACAGAATCCATGAACACTTTTAAAATAAGAAACACAAGTCGACGGCAAACATACAGAAGCGTGTATATTCCTCTCTAGGAATCAGGAGCATACAAAACAAAACAACCATATATAACATTTTTAGCTATCTTCACTTTGGTGTTTGGAGACACAAAGTGACTTAACTACCTAAAATAGGATACATTTTGAGACCCCTCTGATTATTCCTCCTTTCAAAAACTAAATAAGTGGGAAACTCAGGCTATTTCTCCAATTCTCCTCCTCAAAATACAAGGCCATTGATCCGGGGTTCCAGTCTTGGCTCTCCTTCCTGCTTACTGGCTTTATAAATTGAGACAGTTGTCTTAACAGTCTGTGCCTCAAGTTCCTCTTCTGTAAAATGGAGGTGGTCATGCCTCACAGATAGTTGTAGGATTAAAGGGGCAGGTGAGTATAACGTGTTAGCACAGTGCCTGGCACACAGTAGTTGATGAGAACTCTGGGCCCAGCAGCTTCATTCACCTCTGTCAAGGAAAATTCCAGCTCTTCAATCACTGTCGCTCCCTTTTCTCTCCTTGGCCTTCTAGTCTCACTATTTCTAAAACCTCACTAAGAGGATTGAATCAATTTGACTCAATATAGTTTTCTTGGCTACTCCCCTCCTATTGGACACTTAGGTTGTTTCCACTTGCTGGCATCTATAAGATGTTCTGTAAACCAAAATCCCAAATGATGAAGCTTTCTGCTCTGAGAGTTAATCCTCTGTGTTAGCAAGGATTTGGTCTCCCAGAGTCTCAACATTCATTGTAGTCTTGAGATTATGTCCTACTTCAGTTTTTATGAGAGATGTTTGCTCCATTTGTGTCCGCTCTTTTTGGATCTGTTTGAAGAGACAGCAAGTTTCCTGAAACAATCCTGCCATCAGGATTTCTACACTCTATGGAAGAAAGGAAAGGAGGGAGCAGAGGAAGAAAGGGAGAGAGGGATGGAGGGAGAAACGGAGAGAGGGAGGTAGGCAGGCATAGTAAATGCTCACTAGGTATTTGTAGAATAAATGAAGGAATGACTCTGGGATCATTAGCCCTATTTTTAGATGAAGACCTGAGGTTCATAAAGGTTAAGTAGCTTGCCCGGGAACACAGTAATGGGCCCCAAATTTGATCTCAGGTCTTTGAATCCAGTTCCACTGCTCTTTCTCCTAGACCTACTGGGAAACTTGTCTAGCTTAGTGCTACTCTAATGCCAGTCTCCAAGGAGAAAAGGGGCTTGTGACATGATGTAAATTAATGAACTGCTTCCTTCATCAAGAAAGTCTTGCTAAGAAAAATTGCTAACCAAACTAAACAGTATGCTTAGTGACTTTATATTCTGGTGAAAGTTCCTAATCTCATTATAAATAGTTCACCAACTGGTAGCTGGACTGTGAACCACACTTTTTTGTAATATGGGTCCTACTGATCTCTAGCCTAACCGCATGGCTTTAAACTCCATGTCTCTACCATTTCAGATGCTCTCAACAGCTAGATGGAGCCCTCAGGCATCCCAGAGTCCACCACCCCTTTTGATTATGATCCTCAGAGCTTTCTGTGTGAGAGCAAGACCTTCACCTTTGCCACCTTCAGCACCACCATCCTGTACTTCTTGGTGTTCATCCTCAGCCTCGTGGGCAACAGCCTGGTGTTGTGGGTCCTGGTAAAGTATGAGAGCCTGGAGTCCCTCACCAATGTCTTCATCCTCAACCTGTGCCTCTCAGACCTGGTGTTCTCCTGCTTGTTGCCTGTGTGGATCTTGGGATACCACTGGGGCTGGGTGCTGGGAGACTTCCTCTGCAAGCTCCTCAACATGTTCTTCTCCATCAGCCTCTACAGCAGCATCTTCTTCCTGACCATCATGACCATCCACCGCTACCTGTCCGTAGTGAGCCCCCTCTCATCCCTGCGCGTCCACACCCTCCAATACCGCGTGCTAGCGACCACAGCCGTGTGGGCAGCCAGCATCCTGTCCTCCATCCCTGATGCCATCTTCCACAAAGTGTTTCCTTCGGGTTGTGATTATTCAGAACGCACGTGGTTCCTAGCCTCAGTCTACCAGCACAATGTCTTCTTCCTGCTCTCCGTGGGGATTATCCTGTTCTGCTATGTGGAGATTCTTAGGACCCTGTTCCGTTCACGGTCCAAACGGCACCACCGGACAGTCAGGCTCATCTTCACCATCGTGGTGGCATACTTCCTCAGCTGGGCTCCCTACAACCTGATCCTGTTTCTGCAGACACTATTGAAACTTGAAGTCATCCAGAGCTGTGAGGTCAGCCAGCAGCTGGATTACGCCTTGCTTATCTGCCGCAATGTTGCCTTCTCCCACTGCTGCTTCAACCCGGTGCTCTATGTCTTCGTTGGGGTTAAGTTCCGCAGGCACCTCAAAAGTCTGCTCCGGCACTTCTGGCTCTGCCGGCAACAGGCTCCCCCATTACCTCACTCACCAGGTGCCTTTGCGTATGAGGGTGCCTCCTTCTACTGAAAGGGCGTTTAGTGGTGCAGGTGGAGGTGGACAGAGGAGCTGGAGTGGGAGCAAGGACAAGCAGGGCAGGAAGGAGCATCACAGGAGGCACAACATTGGGGACGCTACAGCTGTACAGGTGGGGATGAAAGAATACATTACACCAGCTAGTCCTACCCTCTTCAGTGGAAAAGTGCCCCCCCCCCCAGAAATTTTATATTGCCATCCAGAAAAATGTTTCTGGGATTCTGAGTTCATCATTTATTCATTAATTTAGACATGGATTTCTTATCATTGCTTAGTTCAGAAAGTTCTACAACTTGAAAGGATTCCCAAAAAGGAGCATCCTTCAAGATTTTATGAGAGGCTGAAACTCATTCTGTGTGATAATTGTGTAGATGCAGGCTGCTGGCAAGACAGTCTCTCCCTTTCCTGACTGTAGGGTTGTCCCAGCTGATTTTGGAGGGAGTTGGCTCTGTATTCCTCACTGACTGCTGGATGAGACTCTGCAGGACAAAAGTAACCACATCCTCAAAGAAACATAGTCAGAATGAAATCTGGATTCTAAAAACTTAAAAGTGGACTGGAGAAGTGTTCTGTATCATAGTTCCCGTTTCTAGCACATGAACTGGCACTTGCATATTAAGTCCATAAATCTTTTATTGAAGGAATGTATGCAATAAGTGCTACCTTCTGCATGAAGCATTTATTTGGAGGAAATAAAGATGAACAAGATACAGTTGCTACCTTCCAGGTGCCAACAATCCAGCTCTGAAGGACTGTTGATAAGCAAACACCCACCTTGGCAAAGTCATCCAGGGCAAAGATTCCTCCTACACCTCATCCTCTCCAGGTGGATACTGAGCTGACACTTCAGAGTCATCACTTTCTACCTACAATGTTCTCCCCCTGCTTGGCTGATGGCACCAGCTTCCCTCCATTGCCTATCCTCCAAACCTGAGTCATTTTTGAGCCCTGCATTTCCTTTCCCTCCACTCCCATGGCCAAATCCTATTGATTCTGCCTTCCCAGTGTCTCTCTGAATTTTTCTCGCCATTGCATGCCCATGGCTTCATCCCAAAATGGCCCCACTTCCTCAGCGTCTTCCTGCTACTCATCTCTCTCCCCACAAAGCTGTCCTCCGCATTGACACCAGATTGCTTCAAAACCCTTAGTGGCTCATTACATACAAATAAAGCCCAAACACCTTAGGAAGTCTTTCAAGGCCCCTACAATCTGATGCCAAATGACTTTTCCATTCTTATCCCACCCAAAGCCCCCACCTCCAAGAAGCTTGGGATCCAACCAAAAAAGACCCTTGTCACTTTTCCAGACACCCTTCTCCCCTGTCTCCTCTGCCTTTGTCACATTGTCACCTGGGCCTGGAACACTTGTCCTTCTATCCCTAACCCACAAGCCCCAGCTGAAAAGCCAGCTTCTTCAGGAAGGCCTTCCCATCTGTAAAGCAGAAGAGCACTATCTGGGTTGCCATGGCATTCGGCTTGTCTCCTCTAAAATAGTATTTGTCACTCTCTATCTTGTGTCATAGTTACACACGTATGTGTCTTATCTCCTTGCGCCATCAAACTGCAAACGACCTGAAGGCGGTCCTGCACCCTGCCCAGCACGGGCCCTGGTGTTCTATCACTGTGTACTGAGTGGGAGCAAAGAATGGCAACTATCCTTATTCTTCTAATTTACGCTTTTTAGGGAGCCATGCCATGGGTCACATTCTACCTTCCTTTCCCCAGGCTGCTTCTTTATAGATATTAATCTTTCTTCCCTTGCCTACACTCTCAGAGCACATTGCTTATCTCTCTCCATGGCAATGGCTATACTGGACCTTGCTTTTTAGTTAGTGGTACACATGCCTGCCTCTTACATTATCCCACGGCTTCACATACAAGCATATAAATACAAGCCACACTCTAAACTTTGCCATACTGCACAGACTTGGGCCCAGTTTGTGAACCTGATTCAGCTCTGGAGTGGGGCCTTTGGAAAACTTTCCAGGCAATTCTGATGTGCACTCCAGTTAGGAACATTTGGCTGCAACTCCTTGAAAATGGGAATTCCAGAGTCTTCCACAGTCCCTTGAAGCACTTTGCACACAGTAGGTGCTCAATATATGCTTGTGGAATAAAGTAGCTACTAATACACCCCTCAGCTAGAGCCTAGAGAGCTTGTAAGGCATTTTCTCCTTCAGTTCAGCTGCAATTTCAAAGATCTATTTGCCATTGCGTGGCCAGCCTTGGAGGAGTTTGACCTGGCTGTGGAGGAGTGAGGGTCTAGTTTAACAATTAGGCCAGTAGCACCTGCTGGAGAGGCCTGGGTGGTGCACCAGTGAAGGGATAAAGCTTTTGTGGAGTAGCTTTTCTCACCAATAGGTGGGGCCATCACTCACCACGGTTGAAAGACATAGCAAAAGGAAAGAGACAATGAGATAGTTGTGAGATCAGAGCTAAACCTATGGGCTTCTGGTCAGGCTAATCATTTGGCACCCCTTCAAACTGATACTATAAAAATTTTGTTCAACTTTTATTCAGAAGGCAGGCTGAGCCCAGGGAGCAGAAGAACAGAAGACTCCAGCTCACAAACCCACTTGGCCAAACTGAAGTACCATGGGTTTTGAGCCCACCCTTCTTAGAAGGCAGGTTTGGGGGTCTTCTACCACTACAGAGCATGCCCTTTGAGAGGCTCGCTCCACTGTCACCTCATCTCATCTCATTCCTTCACATCCCAAGATGCTGATCTAAGATTTTTTTAGCACATACAGCCATATCCCTGGGAACACTTCATTAAATACAATTGTGTCCGTCTCTTTACATGTCTAGTGATGTTTTGGCATCCCCAATAGACTAGCTCCCAGGGTAATCTTTAATTAAGAGTCTTCTCATAATCTAGCTCCCTGGGAATCTAAGAGAAGAGGCACAGAGAAAGCGAGGTATGAATGGGAAGGTAGAGGGGCATCCTATCAGAAAGGGAGCTATGGGTGAGACAGCTGAAAGGAGCAGCCAGAGAGCTCACACCAGTGACCATACTCTACATTCTCTGACCATACCCTTCATTGGCCACAACTTCCTGCTTTCCCCTCCCTCCACCCGCTGAAACCACTGTTCAACCTCAACTGGACGCTTGTGGGTCTATCTCTCCCCCTCCATTTGAAAAAAGTTGCCCTGGACACAGGGCAGCAGGCCTCCCGCCACTCCTGGAACATGAAAAATCCACAGTAGTTCCTAGGGAAGATCCTCCTCACAGCATTTCTACCTCCACACTCTCTGGGACAAAATCAGGAAGAGAGGAACCTTGCTGATCTCTGAATAGGAACGTGCCCCCAAGCCCAGGGCAGCCCCAGACCTCAGATGTCCCCAGCCAGAGTGGAACTCTCTCAAGGGCACAAGCCCAGTGTTGTGTGTCTAAAACCCCCCTCTATGCCCAGCAATGTTTGTGATTGGTTGAGTAAGTGAATAGGAGACCATTGTTTTGGCTTTTTTATACTTAAATTTCCTCTTCCTACACTTGCTTACATCACGTCTTCCAGTCAACACCAGGCATCCACCCAATGGGATTCCCATGAAATCTTCTCTGAGGCCCAACAGCCCTGGCACCACCTGGTTTGTTTGGAGTTAAGCTTTGTTGAACTCCTGACAACTTTCATTTGTGAAAATTGCCTGTGACGAGACAGAGAGGCCCACGAGTATGGAAAGCCCAGTAGAACAGATCCCCAAAGTAAACTATCTGAGAAAGCTCTTGGGATTTGAGCCCTCAACACAAACCCTGAATCCAAGCTCTCTTACTTACCCATTGTAACCTCGGGCCTCTCAGAGCCTCAGTGTCCTCATCTGTAAAAATGTATAAATGCCAGCAACACAAAGACACAGCCTACCCACATGATGGAGGTGCACATGAGGTCATGTATGTAAAAGTACTTGCTTTGTCAATGATTCAGCCCCAGACAAATACAAATTGCTATTGCAATCATCTCATAAAAACAGAAAGCATCATTGTATCATATGCACAAATAAAAGATTAGCATTATTGACTTACCTCTGGCTGGTTATGTTCCCCTCATTTCTACCCCTCATTCTATTTCTAAGATCATGCTATAAGATTCCTAAAAGTTCTCTGCTTAAGGGGGATCTGGGTTAGGATTTGGGGTGAAGGGAGGGAGACAGAGGGGAGATTGGAGAATACAGTGTTGAATAAGCCCTGCGTGGGTTAGGATGGTGGGAAATTGGCTCCATTTAGGCCGTAGGCAAAACTGTCTGAGGTCCATCTGTCTTCAGTGCTCTGTGGCTCAGTTTTCTGTCCCTATCTATCCCCGGGCCTGGAACCTAAGCCTTCTGTCTCCAACTCCAAGGCTTTTTTTCTATCTCATGACCCATTTGTACCTGAACAGGACCTTCCAGAGATCAGTCCCTCAATCAGAATGAATAATACTGCTTCCTACTAGGAATTTCAGGCATCCTGAAAACTTGGTGGGAGATACTTGCAGGTTTGGGGGGAAGTTTGGGAAGGGGAAGAGGGATTATTCTAACTCCTCACGAAGTTATTCGTGCTTCGTGGAGAGCTCCCCTCTCCACCATGGAGCCAGCCCAGATTTTAGGTGTGGGGTTGTTGCAATCCCCTCCCCCACATCCCTTCCCAAACCCCTCCACAAAAGGAAGCGTGGCCAGAGGGACCAAGGTAGCCCAGTTCCTTGACTTAGACCATCTCAGAAAATCAGCCTTGAGCATCACTCACGGTTAGAAGAAATAGACAACAGAGGGCATGGGGAATTGGATGGTTGTGGGGATTAGAGACAGACTGGGGGTGAGAGAGGGAGGTGTAGCCCTCCAGGAGGTCCCCGGCCTCATTTGCAGAGGGCCTGCTCTGTGCAAAGGCAGAGGGAAGCCAGTGTTGAGGGGAGTGAGATGGCAAAGATAAATGAGCCCCACTCTCAAGTTGGCCAGCCTCTAGTCACTCCTATTTGGGGAAAGGTTTCCATAGGATTACTCCAGATGACCTGGATGAACCCTCTTGACTCAGAGAAAAGGACCTGGCTTGATTGTCCACATAACTAGGAACGCACACCTGAAACATGTCATTTAAACTATTCCAGGGCACTTTGCAATGAACTGTGGGAGTTTAAGGAAGGAAGTACCCATCTTTATTTACTCCCTCCACTTTGGTTACTATTGGTTCAATAATCTGCCTGATCTTTTCCAATAATAAGCAAAATGTGAGTTTTAAAAACAACAGCAACATTGAACAATGCTAACTTTTCAAAGCATCTTCTGTTTATTTCAAAATTAGAGGAAACCCACTAGTGTTGGCCCTGATAGGAAATCACATGCACTTTTCTGGTTGGGTCCTTAACAAGCCACTTCCCCTCCTTTGGAGTTTATTTTTTCAACTTAACTGGAGAGGTTTGAAGTCAGTGATCTTTAAGACCCCTTCCCATGATTAAAAAATGAAGTCTATGGGTCTATAATTTCATGGGTTGCATTTCCAGTACCTCTGAATGTGACCTTATCTAGAAATAGGGTCATTGCATATCTAATTAGTAAAGATGAGGTCATACTGCATAGGGCCAGCCCCTAATCCAATATGACTGGTGTCTTTATAAAAAGGGAAAATTTGGACATAGACACCAACAAAGGAAGAATGCGATGTGAAGATTGGAGTTATACTACCACAAGCCAAGGAACACCAAAGATTGCAGCAACCACCAGAAACTAGGAGAGAGGCATGGAACATTCTCCCTCACATCCTCAGAAGGAATCAACTCTGCTGACCCCTCGATCTCAGACTTCTAATCTTGAGAACTGTGAGACAATAAGTTTCTGTTGTTTAAGCCACCTAGTCTGTGGTTATGACAGCCTTGAGCAGACTGATACAGAGGACAAACTTCAGTGGGTGTGTGGGGAATTCCAGTGCATATCTGAACACCTTGTGAGGTTTCACTGTCTACCTCACCCACACAGAAGATTGCACCTAACTGAAGACACACACAGGAGATTGGAAACTGACTTTTACTGAGAACTACTCTGTGCTAGGTCCATACATTTACATATCTCATAGCCACCCTGTCAGGTTTCTGTTTCCCCACTTAG